TATAGTTAATAATAGCTTTTACTTTTACTTTATTAAATTCTTTAAAAGGTTTACTAGGTATATTAAGAATCCTTTTCTTATATAGCTTAATAGTAAGTATATAGTCTACTTTCTCTTTATAGTTAAAAATACTATAGTTATAGTAGGATATATTTCTATAAAGAATATAGGTATTAGGTTCTTTTATAGGTAACTATAGTGTTATTATAGTAGTTTATTATTAATAATAATAGTATTATATACTTTTCTTTAGCTTTAGGTATTTTATAAAACTTTTTACGCTTATATAAAGTATATAAGGTTATCTTTTACTTATATAAAGTAGCTAGTAGGCTTATCTAGTGTAAAGAGGTCTATTTAACCTTTCTCTATATAGTAGGGTTTTACTATAGTAATCCTAAAGTTATATAGGCTATAAGGTAAATTAATAGTATAAGTAGTACTATTATTAGTAATAAGGTAAAATAGGCCTTACTAGCTATATTTTTTATACTATATATAGATAAAGGATTAAAGGGGTAAAGTAATAGTATTAGTTAAATCTAGGCTATTATATATAGTTAGTACTTTATATAGCTATTACTTTATATAGATCTAGTGTACTATATTTATTACTTTCTTAATAGCTTTAGTGTATTATATAATAGTTATAGTAAGTAGTAACTTATTAGTTATTTAAGGGTATATACTAAATATAAAGAAAGTTAAGATAAGGCTATCTAGGCTAGTAGTATTATTAATTATTTTAATAATAAGTTAAAAGGTAATTTTAGGTTTAGTACTAGTCTCTTTATAAATAATCTTATAAGTATAGTAAAAGGGTATATAATAGTACTTAACTTTACTAATACTATAATAGGCTTTAATAAGTACTTCTTTTACTTTAATAAATAACCTATAGGTAGTATATTTAAACTTACTAAAGTAAAAATTTAGGCTAGTGTTAGTTATTATTTAATTAAGTAAGCTAAAATATATATTAATTTAGTATATCTATAGTACTTTTATATATACTCTATAGTAATAAATTATAAAACTCTTACTATATTAAATACTATTACTATATTAACTATATAAAGTACTAGTTTATTACTATTAAGATATATTATATTAATAAAGATCTTATAGTTAAACTTATTATTATTATATAGTATAAACTTAAAGTAACTAAAGGCTTTAGAGTATAATTAGTAGTAGTAGTAGTACTTATTAATAACTTTAATTAATAAGAGAGAGGTATTTTCTCTAGTATATTTAAGTAACTTATAAAGTTACTAAATAGATAGATAGCTAAATTATTAGTAGATTTAGTATAATTTACTATCTATTAGGTGTTACTTAGTAATACTTTTCTTAGTAGTTATAAAAGTATCTATAGGTAGCTAAATTAGTAAATAATAAGTATAATATTATTACCTTAGATTAGCTAGTTAGTAAAGTTATTAAATTTTATACTATAATAGTCTATATTTTTAAGTAAAAGAAAAATAAAGTATTAGTAGTTATTATATAAAAAATAAGTTACTAAGTAGTATAAGTATATTAATTACCCCTAAGGATTTAAAGTAATTACTACTACTAAAGTAAATACTTACTTTATTTACTTAAGTAGTATCTATAGGTATCTTTTTACCTAAGTAGTACTAGAGAGTAAAATATTATTTATAGCTAGTAGTTAATTTTTAGCTATACTAGTGTTAATATAATACTATAAAAAGTTACTACTAAATAGTACTTATTAAGTATAAATATTTTATTAGTTTTTATAGTCTTACTAAGTAATAGCTTCTTTAATAAGTTCTTATAAATAAGTATATAAGTAGTTACCTAGTTATATAACTTAGAGAATATAGTTAGGCTATTAATTAATAGTTATATAAAGAAGGTAATAGATATAAAGAACACTATATTTATATAGTTATTATTATTACTAGTAGGTTATTTTTTACTATTACTTACTTCTTAAAGATAACGTATATTATAACCTTTATAATTAAAAAGAAAGTAGTTAAAGGTAGCTAGTAAAGCTTATATAAAGTAGGTACTTTTATACTAGTTAAATAAGGATTATTACTTTTCTTTAGTATATTTAGTTAACTAATAACTAGGCTTACTATAAATAAAGCACTTCTTAGTTAATTTATTACTATACTAGTTTTTACTATAGTAGTTACTTTATAAAGAACCTTATATTTACTATAGATTAGTATAATTATTATAGTTACTATTATACTTATAGTTAACCTAAAATTACTTATCCTTTATAGTAGATTTATCTATAAGGTATTATATAAGTAGCTTATAGTAAAGTAAGGTATTTACTACTTTATTATATAGTTATATATAGAGGCTATAGAATATAGCTAGTAGATTAAGGAGAGCTATAGTACACTTAGGTATACTATAGTAATAGGTAATAAGGCACTTATAATAATCTTTATCTTTAGGTAGACTATTATAGGTTATTACCTTAACTAGCTTAGTAACCTTTTTAATAAGTAACTTAAAGATCTTAAGCTTATTCTTACTATAGTTTTTATAAGTAATTAAGTTAAATAATATATAGTAAAGCTTAGTAATATAGGCTAAGTATACCTTATTACCTTTAAATTATTCTTTAAGCTTTACTATTAGAGTATTAAAATTACTTACTTATTAGTAAAAGGTAAAAGTATAATACTTTTATAGTTTACTTTAAAGTATTACTTAAATTATTACTCTATAGTAGTTTTATATTATACTTACTTAAATATAAAGGTTATAAAATAATAGTAATTTTAAGTTAATAGTCTTATACTAGCTACTAGTGTATTTTATAGCCTAGTTATTAAAGTATATCTTTATAAGGTTACTTATTTACTTTAGTATTAGCCTTAATATTACTATTAATATTACTATAGTTAATAAAAGCTTTTATATTAGTATAGTAGTTATTATATATAGGCTATAGATTTTAGCTATTACTTAAGGTTTTAGTATTAATAAAGGCAGTAGTAAGGTAAAGGTTAAGTTATTATAAGAGGTCTAATAAGTAATTACTAGTAATAAGTGTACTTTAGCTAGTTTTTTACTATATAGGATTATATTATAACCTCTAATATTCTTAATAAAGTTAAGGTTTTAAGGTATAGTTTAAAGTTATATAATAATCTTTTAATAATAGTAATTATCTTATTAGTCTAGTAGGCGCCTTTCTCTTATTAAAGAGTATTAAATATATATTAGGTAATTAATAAGTGTTTACTATAGTTAACTTATATACTATAATTAATAAGGAAGTTATATAAGCTTATTAAGACCTTTTAGTTAATTATCTTAAAGTTATTTATAGACTATTTACTAAAATCTTTATAGGTGTAGTAAAGTAATTTACTACTAATATAGTTATAGTACTTATAACTACTAATATAAAATATAGTAATAGTGTTAAGTATAAGAGCTTATTACTTACTTATAAGGTTAATTAGTAACTTCTTAATATAGTCTTTTCTTTATTATTATAAGAGAATACACTATATAAAGTTAGTAAGTATAGTAAATATATTATTAATTACTACTACTTACTACTTTATATTAGAAAGTATATTATACTTACTATAAACTTCTTCTTATTACTTTATAGGTAAAAGTATAGTAACCTATAAGCCTTACTTACTTATAAGCTTATTATATTTACTTATTTTAGCTTAGGTCTTTTACTTATAGGCGTAGTATTATTTACTATTACTTTTTATTAGCCTAATAACTTCTTAAATATAAGTATTTCTTTTAGTAAACTAGAAGGTATATATATTTATTAAAAGGATTACTACTAGTAGTATAAATAGGTAGAAAAAAATATACTTTTATAAGTAAATAACTTAGAGAAAAATAATAAGCTATTATATTAGCTACTTATTAATACTATTAGTTAGTAAAAAGAGAAGAAATAATAGGCTATTATATTAGTAACTTATTAATACTATTAGTTAGTAAAAAGAGTATATATATAGGAAAAAGAAGTTAGTAAGCTAAAAAGCTTATAATAAATAAGATATAGTAAATAATTACTAGTTAGCTATAGGTATATAAAGTAAAGGGTTTTTTATAGTTAAAAGTACTTCTCTAAAGATAATAAAGCTTATATAATAGATATAAATTAATAAGGTTTCTACTAGTTAAAGGGACTAGTTATAGATCTATTAATTAACTTATTATAATAAGTAATTAGTATAAACTATTATAGTAAGGGTATTTATAAAGGTATTTTTTAGTACTTACTTACTCTAGGTGTATAAATAATTAACTAGTAATAATTACCTCTTCTTATAGTCCTTACTAATCTATAGTTTAAATAGTAAAGTTAACCTATATAGTTAATAGTAAAGTTAACTACTAATTAGTGTTAGTAACACTAAGAGATAGGTTAATATAGTTAACTATATATATTAGTAGTAATTAATAAATAATAGAGGTAACTATAGTTCTTTATTATATATAAAGAAAAAAAGGATAATTATTATAGGTTAGTTAGTTAAATAACTAACTTATTACCTATAAATCCTTAGAGAATCTATAGCTAAATATCTAAGGATTTACTAGTAATAAGTTATTAGGGTTAACTTAATAACTCTAATATTTATTTATAATAGTTAATATTACAATAATTATAGTTAAAATAAAGTTAGAACCTATAGTTGCTCTACATTATTAGATAATCCTTTCTACTATATTAAATAATTAAGAGGTTAAAGATGTTATATATTAGAATATAACTATTATACTAGGTTAGCTATACTAAACTGTTTATATATAATTATTTCAAACCTATATGTTAATTTACACCTTTCTTTCTATAGCTTCTCTAGTAACTAGCTCTTATAGAATAGTCTCTCTACTAAGGAATCAAGGATGCACAGTAACACCGACAATAAAGGAGTCCCACAGTTATTAAAGCTCAGGCTACATACCCCGGCACTAACCTTGGGTGCCGGCTTAGCCGACATAGATACTACCATAACAGGGGTCTATGACTAATAAGGGGCAAGGTGTTACAGCGTGAGGCAATTAGCTAGCCCAACCACACCTACACATGCCTCACACCTGCTGACTAACAGGATTTCGGCTACCTCTACCCTTTTGTTATATTATTACCTTTAATAGGTATATTATCTAGAATGTAAACCTTACTTCTCTAGAAACTTAATACTTAATCATTCTCTCCCTTTCTTTAGTTTTTAGTGTTGTTAGTCTAAAGAGACGCTTTGAGTTACTCTATAGTGACTTGAGATGTAATCCAGTGCTTATCTAGATCGCCTATAGTTACTGACGCTGTCCCTTTCACCCCAATAAAAGGTTTCAACTTCTCTCTCAACAAGTACGTAGGAGTGCAGCTCCAGGCGTGGCAGAAGCTATTGTTTCTCACATCGCCGTAAGGACTTGCGTGAGGATCGTCGGGATTGAAACACTCCCAGAAGGTATCGCAACCAGCTCGTACCATCCCTCCCCAATAGCTCGTCATGATCTCAACGCATTTTTCGAAGCAGCCCGAAGTCACGAGAGCATCGCAGACATGATGCCACAGATACGGTGTAAGGGGCTTGACAGCATCAGGGTGGGCGAGCGTTTTGAGCAGCGCCTTCCGTGCGATATCCTCCGGGAAAGCCTGAGCCAGAACAAGCCACGAGGCCGAGGCATAGCTGACCTGTGCCTTGGGCCCAGAAATGAAAAGACCGTCTGATGAAAGGAACACCCTCGCTCCTTTAGTCATTTTAGTGACAAGGTCCACGAAAGGGGCCTTCTTGTCGAGGAGCTCGGCCAAGCTGTTCGCTGCCTTCAAACAAAACAAAAGAACGCCGTGCAGTCCTGCACTATGTTCCAGGGCAGGCTGCCAATCAAGAAATTTCCATCCTTCTCCTTTCGTCTCATCAAAGGCATGCGTGGCGGCGTCTAAATGACCGATTGCCCGCTCGACGGATCCCAGAACTATAGGCCAAAGGTTGTGGCCCGCAGCCCTGTCTCCGGATGCCGCCACATAGTCATAGACTATAGCGGCGAAGAGTGCGTCGTAGTCCACAATATAGTCCGTTGACGGCGTAAGCTGGGGCTGCTCAAAGATGCAGGCCGGTACAGAGTTGTCTTCGCGGACTACAGCAGCGAACTGGAAAATACACCTTTTGACAAGGTTGAAGTCTTGGAAAGTGCTGTAATTTGCGAGGGCTTGCAGTCGCAGATCGCCGCTCCAAAGGCGTCGATCTCTCCGTGGGCCGTCTTCAAAAACAGTCTGCATGCAATCTCTCAACGTCGAAATACTGACGTGGTCAATTGCTTGGAGGATAGGGTCGTGAAACTGCAAAGCCTCCAGACGATGAGTTTGACTGATGGCGCTGACACATTGACACTTGACGTCTGAGAAGGCGACCTTGTATTTGGGTGATGTGTCAATAACTTCAACCCTCAGAAAGCGAAACGAGAAGCGACGAGGCAGAGAGATAAGCTCGGGACACATATCGATGTTGATGATCTCGTCCGGCAGCCAGCTGGTGCTAATCCACGTTTTGACGTTGTCCATGCCAAGCGCGACGTCTAGAGGAGACTCCCCGAACGTGAGGCGCAATCTGCATGGGGCGTCCATGTGAGAATTGCAAGACTCGAGTTTCATCGAAACGTATCCCACCATATGAATGCCGAAATCGAGGATGAGTTCGTCTCCCTTTCCCCAGGCCTTCGATGGTAGCTGATCAATTGAATAATCTGCAGGCTCGGCCCGAACACCAAAGTACTGGTTTCTGTCTTCGACATATTTGATGACTCGTCGGGGTGTGCGCTCCCATCGATACAGCTTGGGGCACAAATCGTTTGCGATCTGCTCAAAATCACGATTCCATCGTGTACAGATAATGCTATCCTCGACCGCAGGCTTGGGAGCGTCTGTCATGGTGGGCTGGAGTTGATGACGAGCACTGCTTCTGACGATGAGCCGTTAAGGTAAAAGTATGACGTTGCATGTTATTTGTACCTATCGCATAGCACGACTAAGATTCGGGTCATTGATGCGCGAAATCAACTGAAAAGGGTAATCCAAAAAACCGGTTCTCAGAATGAGGGGGGTACGGCGGACACTTGTAACTGCTGCCCCATTGGGCTGATGATAAATCAGTATGGGGCCAGTTGTGGAGGGCGAGAATTTGCGGGGGTTTGCGGAGGAGGAGTGCCGAGGACCATTACATACATACGTATATACACTATAATAGTGGTGTAACGAACCCCAGCCAAGGTTAGCCGAGGAAATACATAGTACCTGTATCAGGAATTCTAATTCCGGTAAATTGCGGGTGAGACATGAACCGAGTGTGAAGCAGATCAGGTCTGTCGGAGCCCCGCCCGGAGGCTTTGCCGCAGCGACCTCACTGAGGAGACAGACGCTATCCCTTTGAGTGCGGGCGGACCTCACTAACCCCGATGAGGGGTAGGGGCAAATCAGACCACAGCAATTAACGCCGAAAGCCAATAGTTTCAAGGTACTTCTATTTATATGACGTTTTGCCTATGCCAAAGGTACCAGCAATCTCTACCTTTACATAATAGTATATTACAGTCTAAGTAGCCTTGCTAGGTCTCCTAGAAGCTTGTTAGGCCAGACTATTACCTGGGATACAGTTATCTAGGCAAGCGACAACAAGGCTATATAAATAGTGCTATTAATTAAGGTATCTAGATCAGAAGACATTATGGTTTTAATGATAATAAGATAACATTCTAAAACAAAGTATTGTCATGTATCTCCGAAAGTGTGGGGTAAAAGTGGAGGGGGTCCACATCGGGGTTAGTGAGGTCTGCCCGCACTCAAAGGGATACGTTTGTCTACCTAATATCAGAATACTAAATCGTGCCCCGATGAATTAAGCTCTTGTATTTTTTTCAGGCATATTTGACGTTTGTAGCTTCAAATTGAACAGTCTGGGCCAAGAGGTCGCCTATACTCTCCCAAACGAGAGCATCCCGCGATGACGAGCATCAATTTAACTCCTTTGCTAGAGTGAGTTACAAGGAAACAACAGTATGATATTGAAACGCTATGTTAAAGCCTTGTACCGTTCGGTACAATGACCACTATAGCCCCAAGCTGCCGAGGGAGATTACCAAAGTGAGGGGTTATTGGTCTAGTGCTCATGATTAGAACAAGGGTTTTATATTTCAAGAGACCACAGCTGACCCGCCGCGAAACGTCAATCGTGTGTTTAGGCGAGATGACAGGTTGAGAGCTTAGGCCTCCTTCCTTACGCTAGGCAAAAAATGATTGCGTTCAGTACTTTCGAAGTCAGGAGGTACGTTCGGTCGATTGATGCGGCGAGGTTTACCCGAGGAAGTGCCTACAACTACCTCGATTAAGATGATGCCTGAATCATTCCTTACAATAAGAATCTAGTGCACTCCCGATAGTCTTGCGTTCTGCCCCAGGTTCCTATAGACTGTTTCTACATCTTCCTGAGATTCGTCTCCAGAGTTTATTGATTTCAGCTCTTCCCCTCTTGAGTTATTCTCTTGTTTCAAGTACACGTTGTCTGAAAATCATACTAGTCGACAGTAGCGGGGTTCGACACAAATATGGGCGAACGAGACTTCGAGGCGCACATAGCCTCGATTATTGACAAGGACGACATCGCTGCTGCCAAAGGCGAACACGTCGAGAGTGTTGGCCGTGCAGCGACTGTGGAAGACCACGAGGAAACTGTTTTCCAAGCCATCAGGGGCCAAACCTGGGCATTCATGTGGTGTCTTTACGCCATCTACGTCCTTATACTCACTAGTTTTGACAACCAAGCGGGCGGCACGGTCATTGGGATCCCTCAATTTCGCAAAGACTTTGGCACAGAGTTTGATGGGGACTATGTTCTACCCGCAAAGTGGCAGTCTGCTTACAGCGGCGCTCCTGTGGCATCGTGAGTAATTATTACACCTGCAAGGCCCCGGAATGGTGTCTAACGGTCTCTCCATTTCAAGTGCTGTCATTGGTTCTCTTGGTGCCGGCTACGTAGCTGACCTTATTGGTCGCAAATGGACATATTTGATCAGCTACATCTTCATGTTCGTTGGTATTACCCTCGAAACGATTAGCACAACCAACGAGATCTTCTTCGCCGGAAAGTTCATTGCGGGATTCGCTATTGGCGCCTTCATCACAGTCAGCATGACATATATCGGCGAGATTTCGCCGTTGGCGCTTCGTGGCATCTTAACTGCCGCCGCCGCCATTGCCTTCACCATCGGCCCTTTTATCGTATCATTAGTCGTCAACCAAACGGGGACCAGAAACGACCGATGGGCCTACCGCACTATCTTTGTATCACAATACGGCGTCAGCGGCCTCGGTGTTCTCTTTCTTCCCTTTATGCCCGAGTCGCCGTGGTGGCTGATCAGCAAGGGCAACACGCAGAAGGCCGCAAGGTCTCTAAGCCGTCTCGGATACGATACTGCCCAGGTCGAGAAGCAGCTTTCCGTTATTACTGTGACCCTTGCAGAGGTACGTAAGGAGACTGAGGGTGCTAGCTTCGCCGAGTGCTTCCGCAAGTCCAACCTTCGCCGAACCATCATTTCTGTTGCGCCCTTGAGCATACAGGCTTTGTGCGGCGTTTTTTTCGTCTCCTCGTACTCAACATTCTACCAGCAACTTGCTGGATACTCTGCGGAAGAAAGTTTTACACTTGCCATTGTCCAGCAGATTCTCTCTATGCTTGGGAATATCACCTCCTGGTTCCTTATTGACAAGGTCGGTCGCCGCGGCCTCATATTTTGGGGTATGTGCACATTGACCACCCTTTTGATGATAACCGGCGGTTTGGCTGTCACGGCCACACCTGGCGCTATAAAAGGAACTGTTGCTTTGCTGTTGGTATATTGCTTTATCTACAACGTCACAATTGGCGCTGTAGCCTACTCCCTATTGACTGAAATCCCAACTTCGCGTCTTCGAGCCAAGACTGCAGCCATTGCTCTAGCTCTTCAAAACGGACTTTTCGTAAGTCACTCTTTGCACAAAGATCTAATATTGTAGTTAAAGCCCTACTAAGATAACAATATGTGTAGACAATGTGGGCATTTGTTATCCCTTTCCTTTTCAATCCTGACCAGGCAAACCTCGGAGCTAAGGTGGCATTTATTTTTGGTGGCCTTTCGGTATTATCTACAGTATATCTCTGGTTTTACCAACCTGAAGTTGCTGGAAGATCATACGACGAACTCGATGAAATGTTTATGAAGCAAATTCCTGCGCAAAAGTTCAAGGGCTTTATTACCCAGGTACAACAGAACAGCTAAAGAGCAGACTAGAACAATATTCAGCATATTAGATGATACGTGGTATATATTACAGAGATCTGGGCGCAATTCTTGCGCACCAGATGGAAATTGGCGAAACCATCACATACCAAGCGATCATGGGCGTCCGGAGAATTACCATCATCAGTGCTGGCCACTACAGAAACTATCACCAGCAGCACACTTCTCCAGACGCGCACTACGGCTTCGTAGGTCAGCCTTTTGTAATCCATTGCGCCTTTAAGAAGACAGGCTCATAGCGAAGATTACCAAGGGTCTCCTGCCTGGCGCAACGTTACAAAACGGCCTGCCAGGCATAAGAAAATTCAGAGGCCCTACTTAATTAATTACAGATTTTATTACGTCAAGTAACCTACTCCTATAGAAACGTTATTATTAAGATGAGTAGACCAAAGTGGCCTCTTAATTTTATACGCTTAACCCTTTATGCCTGTCAGGTGCCTAGCAGAGGTCACAGGCCAGAGCCAGGGTTAGAACAGGTAGGGCCCTATTAGTCAGCCTATAAAGGATAAAACCCTCCCAGCTTGCGATAGTTAAGGGGTTAGATTCGAATGCTGTTACAACACTATACCTACCTTCTGTTAAGTGGCCCTATCGTTGACTTCATTACTCGGACCAGCTGACCCCTGACAATGCCCTACTTTGGGACTAAAGCAGTAATATAGGTTACTCCCGGCTTATCCTGGCTCACCCTGGCTTACTCTTTTCGCCAGGGCCAGCCGCATAAAACAGCCAACCACGAAGTGGCATAGACTGCTGGCGATCGGAGGTCACTTTAGTCACGAAGATCCTGCCCATCTTGCCAAATCTGACCAAACATGCCATGACAATAAATTGAGCCTGTAACCACATTGTAACAATTTTCTAACTGCGCATAATATTACCTCGACCCACGACACAAGGTATTGGGGGTCTGACAATCAACGGCAGTAGATTAGTTGCGCTACTAATAATGAAGAAAAGGAGAAGTCAAGAAGGGAAGAAGAGAAGAAGAGAGTTAGGCTACAGCATGGCTTAATAGTCTGAAGGACGCAAGGGGCGGGGGATCATGTACCCAGCACAAGAAATCCCAGAACACAGCAATCATCTCAGCCCATTGCCTGTCTAAACTGCCGTTGTCCTGCGGGAAAGCGTACCGGCGTGTCTTTTACGCAACAATAATAGAATTCTTTGTAGACACCCGCTGTCCAAGAAGCATCGCCCGAGCCACGGTTACAAGCCGTGCTTCCCCAAAAAGTCAAAAGAAAGCTGGAACCCCGCCGTGGCGTTGTTGTGAAGCGGCAGCGCATGGCCGGTATTAGGTTGCAGCTTGAGATCGATATCCGTGGCATTGGGATAGAAGTTCCTCAGATAGTCCACATCGACGTAATTGTTGCAATCGCCGCGACAGATGTAAAAGTCAAACTCGGGCAGCAAGAACTGCACCGGCGAGTGAAACGAGCCGCCGGGCCGGTTGAGGATGTTGAAAGCTGAGGCGAACTCGCCGATGGGCACGGGCTGCTTGAGTGACACGCCGTAGTCGAGCAGCGCGGGTGTGTACGCCGTCTTTGGGTCGCCGCCGAAGAAGATGGCCTGGATGCCGACTTTCTGGGCCACAACGTAGCCGCTGGGGCGGTTGAACGGCGGGTCGCCCGTGGCGGCGTACTCGACGGCAAAGGTGACGGAGCCGGTGCTGCCGAGGTACTGCCCATAGACGTAGCCCGTGATGATGGCGCCGTCGGTGAGATTGACGTAGGTGGCGATGAAGGCCGAGGTCAGGACGGAGCCGAAGCTGTGCCCGATATGCACTACCTTATCTGGTTTGGTAACGGTTCTGGAATGTTTTGGAAGGCGGCGCGGCATGCTCTGCCAGGGCGTACAAAGAGCCGTTGCGGGCCATGAGGGTCAGCTGTCGGAGGATCTCCAGTTCCAAGGGGGCCTGGACGACGTTGTAGGCGTCGGGGTGGTCGGACTGGCCGACGCCGAGCCGGTCATACGTTAAAATGGAGTAGCCGACCCGGAGCGCCGCCTCAACATACGAGTGGTTCTCGGGCTTGTACTTGGAGTCCCAGTAGCGGGAGTCGTAGTGCACTCCATGCGTGACAATCTGCAGAACGTCTTGGCTCTTTCCATGCTTGGGGAAGCATAGCTGCGCGTGAATGTCCCACGTGCTAGAGGTAACGGTATGCTTGATGACGTTGGAATCGTTATGGAGGGTGGTTCGTGTGGCGTCGTAAATGGCCCAAGCGCCGGCCTCGAGGTCGTTGTCTACGTGGGGGAGGTTGTACACGGCGCTGTCCACGGTCGTGGCTACTGGAATGTTGAACTCTTTGCAGTTTCCGTAGATGTGGTTGTCGGTTGGCACTAGCGATGCAGAGACTGCCGGCAGGAGGAGCAAGGCTTCAGCGATAAGATTGCGGGTTGTCATCATGAGAACAAGAATACCAGAGGGCGTGAGTATAAGGTGATGGTCGTTGAATGTGTTGAATGTGTTTATCAGTTTTCTTGCGCAGTTTCTACTCAAACCCAACCATCTTATATCAACGAAGCAGCAAAGCTCCCCCAGCTTTCAGCTCACGTATGACCATGTATTCATCAAAAAGAATGACTCTAATTCCAAAAATCATTTGCAGTAAAGTGAAATATTTGAAATATTTCCCATGGAGCAAGTACGCCCTGTCTGTATGTAGCCAGTGACAAGATCTATTAGCATCTAGGCATCCTACGCCCTTATACGACTACATCTCTCGAAAAGTCCAAGTACAGATTTGCTAGATTAGGCAATGATCGGAGACTATCTAATGTACCAGTATTACGTACTCGGAGGAGACAGGGAGCTCGCAATAGCATCAGCGGATGACAACCAGAGCCGCCTCGTCCGACGCGCCCCGCCCGACGCCCAGGAACTCCGCCAGAGAGAAAGAAAACAGTGGTAGATAGCTTCCCAGACTGCGGAGTTTAATCAATGCACAGCCGGCCACGCGTCACTACAAAGCCACACCGGTGCGCTAAGTTGCGAGCTACTTGACCGCTTGACGGCCTTAAATCTGATGTAAGCCTACGAGACTAGTGCCGGGCGACGCACAACACCCGACAAGCCGCGACACAGCCGTCTAAAAGTGCACCTAATTAGGCAATCTCTATATTATGAAAATCGCACGGAAATTAAGCATGTCCACTGTTAGAGGAGAAGTAAGGACACTTAGAATTTGTTATTAAGGGCGCCCTAAAACAAGATGGGGTTTGGGCCCTTGCGTTGCTTCCGGAGTGTCTAGCCTTGCGTTGTCACTGCAGTCTCATTTCCGGTATCCCAGCCCTAGATTTCGGTTAGGTTTTTTTAAGGCATCAACCAAGCTAGCAGGCGTTTATCTATAAACATATAAGCCCTCCCTTAGCTAAATATGCCCCAGCGCTGGTACGTGACGGTTGATTTGCCTACTTGGGGTTGGGTATTACCCGCCTAACATAGACTACTCTAGATCTGTATCTTTAGACGTTCAAAAGACTAAAAGAAGAGAATAGATAAAAAAAAAAACAGGTATCTGACGTCCGAGAAAGGGCATTTCAAATTCACAGCTACTCTGGATCAACGGCACTCTTCTCGCAGACTGCGACCTGGCCGGGTTATGTCTCTACTCTAACAACCATCTATTTAACTTGCTAACGGCCGACACATCACAAGGCAACTATCTTAATGATGGATGACGAGGAGGCTTGCCTAATACTACCTGAAAGTGTGTATAAGTTTTCGCAAATCACAATGTTTCATTTTCATACTGACGCTGTACCCATTCTTGTATATAATCATTGAAGGGTTCTTCAATATTGGGACGAATCCGTATCATTTTATTCACTTCGTTCGAGGCTGCTCTTGTCAGCACCGTCCAGCCCTGTAAAGGGCGGAACACGGAAGAATGCGCGACGCCAGGGTACATCTCTTGGTCGGAGGCCTTCCGTAACCCGAGATCGTTACAGTTGTGCAACTCAGACCTATCGGATAAGATGTTATCATACACCTCCCGATACGTCTGATCCGCTCATCTTCAAAGACAGCCAACATTGATATGTGGGCTAAGTCCAAGGAAGGAAGTCCTGTCTTGGCGGTAGTTCCTGATGCCGACGTAGTAGACCAACGGATCAGGAGAAGCGTCTTCTTTGAAGGTATTCCAAATTTCATTCAATAACTCCTGAAGTCTCGGATGTTTTTTGAATTTCTTCTGAGGGTGCTCTGGACGGGAGAATCACACAATGTCAGTATTGAAGGATTCTCTGCTGGTCGTCTCTGAATCTTTATTTTGTTGTCGGCAACATATCTCTTCAGATCAATGTTGTGCTGTGCTGAATGCCTTCAACTTGTCAATAGGTCCACGAACCAAATATGACCCGATTCGCTTTGCTCCAACCTTTTCTCGCCTTTTAATTAACCCTTTTCGACATTAAGAACTGACATTATGCCGTGGCCCTTACTAATGGTCTTTTGAGTGACAGTTTCGGGGTGCTGGCAAACAGCTAGCCAACTCCCTCAAAGACTCAGCATCATAGCGAGCGATGATGGATTTCTTGGCATTGAGGAAGTCGGTGTCCTTCAATTCGGTTAACCCTTACTCCCGTCCTCTAACTGGGGAGCATCATAAATTACGGCCGAGTTCGGTCGACCATTTATACTCAATGTCAACCCTGCAATCCGCGCGATAATACCACCCAAAGCGGCCGCACTAATGTGCTGTGGTGCGCCTCCGATTTGAAGTCTGGGGACAGTCAATCAGGATGTAGCATTTACTATCACGTCTCCTCAAGACTGTTGAAATATAAGGGCTTGAAAGAAGTGGTTCAAAAATTCTTTGCAACTTTGCAAGCTTGTTGTTATCGACTGATTTGATTTCAATATCGAAAGACTGGATCCAGTAATTAATAAAATGGGTTTCGAGCGTAACCATGTCTCGAAGCTGGTCCTAGCCAACCCGAAGTTGATGTCTTCGCTGTTGCTCACAGTTACGATCGTAAGCGCTGCGGTAAGTATCCAACTCTGGGGTCTATCACAACCGATTCTTGCTTTAACAAGCATTTCGTAGATACTTGAATGAGATGCGTTATTAACGAATAGGCTACTCATCCTGCCGTCCCACATAAAATACGTTCACTTTGAAAGACTGCCACCGAAGGTCTCAACAATGTGGCATGATGAATAGGCAGTATTATGGGAGTTTTCTTGCTGCAGCCGATTCCAGTCTACTTTGGCCGCTGGCGAGCCATTATTGTTGCTTTCGTCATTACAATAATGGGCATTATTTTCCAAGCCGCGGCAGAACATCATCATATTCGTCGTTGCTCGCATAATTGTTAGCATTGATCTGCAGTTATCAACGGTGAAGCTCCTACCCTCTCGGATGAACTTCTTCCTCCGCACAAGCGTGGTCGTATTTTGAGATTGTTCTTTTCCTGCTTCTACGTCGGAAGTCTTGCTTCTGCTATTGCGAACTACGGAAGCCAAAATACCCAGAGCACCTGGTCATGAAGCCTACCGTCCCAATTGCAATCCTTACCTAGCCTTCTAAGCATCGTCCCGGTTTTCTTTGTCCCAGATTCTCCTCAGTTTCCCATTAAAAATATGCGGGACGACGAGGCGTTGGAGGTGCTTATTATCATTCAAGGCAAGGGGTTTGAAGACTTGCAACAGGGGCAGGGAATCTACACGAAATATGAGCTATCATGAAGAAGGAGGAAGAAGAGTATCCTCCAAAACCTTGGAGAAGAATCCTCGCAACGGCGGCTAACAGGAAAAACCGTACCATTCTTTGCAAAAATAGTCCGATAATCAATATGTTTGGCAATTTCATTATCTCGTATGCTGCACCATGGTTCCGTTCCAACGGCGTCGCTAACAATCGCATATTTTACCCCAGGAAGATGCTTGATCAGACAGGCATCAGAGATACTGTGAAACAAACTCGGATCCAAGTCATTCTCAACAGTTTGGCTCTTGCTGTGGCTGTCTTTGGTAGCTTCATGCTCGATGTTCTCAACCGACGATTCCAAAGCTACATCATCGGAGGGCCGATCAAATGTAAGCAGATCCAGCTTCGCGACACCACTATGTTGGTTCCAACATGATCACCGAATATGGAGAAAGTATCAACCAGTCCGGGCTTTATGGCAACCTTGCTATCATCTCCTTTTTCCAAGGTTTCTACACCTTTTACTCTACTCCAATGACCAGATTTTACCCTACTGAAATTTCTCGTCACAAGCTCCTAGCTACTGGTACCGCCGTTTTTCGTATGCTGGATGCTGACTTTGGGCTTGTTGACTGCACCCATATCCAAGGGCTGTTGCTGGCGTGAAACAGGCTGCTTGCATCGTTTTTCATGGCTTATGCTATGGCAGACTTAGGTCGGGAATTCTATTTTATGTACTTCATGGAACCTGGTTTTCGTGAATTGCCTATTTCACATCTATTGAGATCAATGTCTTAATAAAGAGGAAATTACAGATAAGTTCAACCGATCCCGAATCATCAATGCGATTGACAATATTTCAGACTCCCAAGGGATTATAGATCCCAAAGTCTTAATTAAAATTAGTTCTAACGCTACAGTAGAGATATCAATACATAAACGGCAATTTAACTGTAATATATATATGCTCTTCTACGAGTCACTCCTGCCTAGGGCTATCACTATATCTGTCTCATCCTCCGTTAAGAGATTTACTATTATCAAGTACAGGTCATCCTGCTCTAATGCCTCCTTTACTAGCTTGTTTTTCTTTCTCTCTTCTTTATTCCCTTATACCTTGTCTTTCTACTCTATAATTAATACCTACAATATCCGGAATTAGGTTGAGGTATACTGGAGCTTTATAGGCTGCCGTATGAGCGATCTAGTATGCAAGCATTACAACTCGCATGATTTGCCATTGCGAAAACTTTTAGAGACGAAAGGATAACCAAAAGATATATTTTATGCTAGGTCTGCGATCCTTCGCTTAGAGGTTAGGTAATATTAGTAATGATATTATCAACAAGTAAAGGTATGTTAGAGTACCAAAAATAGTTTTCAAGCTATCTTACAAGAACGTGAACATGCGCAGTATACCGATATAGGTAGGGATAGATAGAACTGAATAAAACCTAACTAATAAGAAGTTGTATTTTTCCTTGTATATGAACTGTAGATAACTACGAAGTATATGTACTAACAATGTTAAGACCACTGCCGCCTAAATAATACTACAAGTGTGTGTGACCGTAAGCTCTGAGTGGATTACTCCCGAATCCAGCAGCCTGCAAACCCCCTCATTGTCTTTGTAGGCTCTTTCCATTTAGCGTCTACTGCATCCATTAGATATTGGGAGCAGTGCTCAGTGTGTCCGGGGCTTGTAACAATTGAATCTATCGCAGCCCGATCATCATAAAAGGCGTAGAACTGACGCCTCCACATTATGGCGCAGTGATTAATGTGATCACGGACTGAGGTCCAGTAAAAGTCTCTTTCAGACATTTCATCGACCGTCAAACGTTCCGTCATGTTCATGTCGGCGAAAGCACCCCAACTACCATCTTCCTGATATTCGTCGACAGATTCCTTATCAAAGCATACCTCTGGTACCCAGTGATTCAGAAGAATGTCGTATTTGCAGCCTTTGGCTCTTGCTTCATGCGTTGTACTCCCGCAGGATATCTTTTTCATGCCGCTCGTGATGTTGCGGCGTTCTCCAGGAACGAAGACATGTGGCAGTCCAGATGATACCGTTTCTTGTCTCGAGGAAGTCGTTTTCATTGAGGGGTTCATCAAAAAGAAAATAAGAACCCAGACCAGCGAAGTACCAACAAGCACTAATACATGAGAAAGAAACGTATTGCGGCGGCTAGCATGTCGTTGAAGAGAGGTTCGCTCTTCGGCAGTAGGATCGTCCGAGTATTTTAGGAAGGGCTGATATTCGGGTGTTGAAGACATACTGGGTTCAGCGTTGCATGCAGCTATTGCAATGGTCAGATGGTACAATGAAAACCGCATACATGCCACTTCACTGGGAAAACTCCCGGTATTTATTCTGCGGTCTGACAACGTCCGTGCAATTGGGAGTCTTGACGCACCCTTCTATGGCCGTGCGCGCACAATCGTATGTTATCGTTTGTTACAGGTTTTGTTTTAGATTGGCTCCCCGCGGCTGAGCCTCACCAACTCCGTGCCTCCCTTTCTGTTTCATTCAAACATCAATACCACTAACTTGGCCTGATGTTACAGTCAGGAGTCGGACCCTATTGGGTAGCTTAACTGGGTGTTCATGTAGTACTTGCGATTGGATATTCGCCGACTCCACCGTATAGATCAGGCTGATCATGAACATCGTTTATCCCCACGTTTGCGGGCGGTTCGTTCTTCCACCTTGCGCCCCCCTGGTGTCACCTACTATGAGGGGCTGGGTTCTTTCTTGTTACAGGTGAATATGATGCAGCTTTTACACTTAGTCCCGAACGATATTTCAGCTTCTTTCTCGATTAGCGTTAACTAATCTGGACCCCCTTGATTGAATGTACTATGTACATCTTTTTCAGTATTGACTATTGTGACGCATAGAATGAGGCGCTGGAGGCACAAAAGTGGATGCACAACTGCCGTGCTGCAATTGTGGCCTATATCACCTCGTGACAACTATATACAGTGAAACTCTAGTATTAATCCTCGTGTTGTAGTGAAAAAAAATATTCCCCTTAGACAGTGGTTTTGCTGGAAATGCGGGGGTTTTGAAATGGGGATGGTCGTGCTGAATCCGTGACTTTGTGTAAGCTCGACGATTACCATGGGTTGATCATCTTAAATATACTCCACGCAGATCGCGTCGCTTTTGACGTCCATAACCTCAGCAATGGTGATGTTCTCCGCAGTGCCAGCCATCCACATGATGTGATCCAGAGTTGTGGTGTTGCCATTGTCCCCAAAGTACGGAGCGAATGCCTTCACGGGCAAAATCGTCGGTTGAACCGACGCCAAAAACCCGCTAGCAACATTGGGGCCGCCCATGTCAGTCAGACGAGAAGTGTTTTTGCTTTGCCATACCCACCAAAGACGGTCTAGGTTAGTGTGGTGCATGAAGAATAGCGGGTCAGCAGGCGAGAGGGAAACGTCGTCCATCTACAGTTATCCCAATTGGTTAGGCTTCTTCTCTAAGTGTGTTTGCTGGGTAGATCAGATGCACTCACGGTTCCTCCGATAGCATAGTGGCCGGACACATGTGGCGATCCGCCAAGACAGCTGTTGAATTCGCTGTATGAGTCAAGGGTGTTGCAGGCGTCCACAAGGTCTTGAGAGACAAGATCGAACTGGTCTTGCTTGAGATCATAGGCAAGACATTGCTCGGCGCCCCTTTGAAGCTGAATGTTGACGTTGTATTTCACATTCTTGAATGGGCCATCAACAAGGCATCCGTTGCTGTCGACAGCACCAGTTCCGAACGAGGTCGAAGAGTCATTGCCCCAAATGCTGGCAGCCGTGAGAGGTCCGGCAGCCTGGTCCACCTGCTCGTTCCAGTAACTATATAACCCGTTAGTACTTAAGCCCTGGTGTTTCATATATCAACAGAATGTCTTACGGGATGGGGCCAGTATAACCACAATCCGATCGGAGGAGATTCTCGTGGACCGTCATAAACCAACGATGCCACGGAAGAAACGCACCCTGTGTGGAAAAGCAAAACATTAGTTCTGACGGCTCGCTGGTGGTCAATGGGAAGGATAACGCCATACAACAGAATGAATGAATTGAACTTGGGCGATATGGGCCACTTGAAGCTCGTCCCAACGGGTTTTGGAGCCAGCGAAGCCTGTCTTTGATGGAGCCTGTGCTGGATCCATCAAACAGAGTGTCGAACTGATGTACTCGGCCTTCTCAGTGCTAGTGAGCGCACTCCTATTCGGGGATAATTAGCACCCAAAATTCTAGGACAACTTGGTTCAAGATGATTTTACCATGACTTGCGTTGTGCCGGGTTGGTGCAGGCAGCGGAAACGGCCTGGATCATCCCAAGACAGAGGGTTGCGGCGGTGAGAGACTTGACCATTGTGAGAAATATCTTGAAGAAACCTTTGGAGAACGAGTGACTGTGACAAAAGCGTCTTTGCTGAAACAGAGAGTGAGTAGCGATGCTGTTATGGAAGCGGGAATGGAATTCAGAGTGCGCTATCTTCACCTTTTATATACAGCAATAACTAGATGGATTTGCAGTGACATCGATGGCTAACCCAGATCCTCTTCCCTCGTTTGGTATGAAGGCCTGAGTCTTTGCCGGTGAAGTTTCTTCTCTGGAATGGCTCCACATAGCAGGGCGGCGGCCGTCCTTGCACCCGCGCGCGTTCGCCTCCTTGTATGCTTCTTTGCGGATATCTGCAGCGGCATTCTCCTGTCTAGGAAAGACACGCGCTTGGGAACTCCAAGGAGAATATACTACCTGTGGAGCTCCGCGCTCGGTTGAATGCCTCTTTCAAGAAGGTCCAACTTTTTCAATGGCTCCAGTATTGAATACTAGAGCCAATATTGGAGTGCCCAGCGCTCAGAGCCTCTGCGTCACGGGGTATCAAGTCTACATCCTTTCATGGTAGGGGGCTGTAATATCCTGCCGCCATCTTTTGCTTATCGATTAACAAATCCCACTCTCCGTACAATCCCGTATAATCTAGGACCATGCCATACTCTCCCTCCATTGATATTCTGATTTCCGTAAGGCATATAAATGGGCTATCACATAGGGCTTATTTAAATCGAAGTTAGAGTTTAGATCAGGGTGAGACGAAGGGTTTAGTCTTAGACCGTAGAATGCAATGTATTGAAGCTTGATGCGTTAGTGACAGCGGATGAGCTAGACTCTGCTTAGGGCGGCAGCTAGCCTTGCCCTTGACAGGAGTCAGTATCTCGATCATCTCGATCGATACGTGTCTTAGATTGTAGATAAGCTCGGCGGCCAGCATCGTCTATTCATATAAGCTTATCCACCTAATAGTGGACTGATGTACCGTACGCACTTGTCAAGTTCGACTAGGTATAGCTGATGCACGAGCTAACGGTAAAGAGTCTCGCGGCCGCTGAAAAGGGGCTGGCGTGCTGGCAGAAACAGGGTTAGTTGGTTATTAGTTGATAGGTTTTCAAAGCTAATTGTAGTAATAGATGTGGTGGATAGGGGGTTGACCGCTTTCCATGATAGACTTAGCGCCTAGGCGGCCGCTTTCCTCCTTACCGTTAGCTCGAGCTTTGGCTATAGTCGAATTTAACGAGTGTGTACGGATATGGTATGTATAATGGGCTATTACTGCATAGGTAGTAGTAAGCCATGACTTCACCGGCTTTTGTGTTTTCCAATATTCGAGCCTGATTGTAGAACAGGTTTGACCAATAGAAAGGCTTGGGTAATCAGCTTCATAATAATCCACGTAATATAGTGGGTTCCCTAGGTTCGGACTTTGCCGCTCCACCCACGTTGTATTAACTTAGAAATGATATGTGACTTGACTGCCGGGGCATTTCCCCTATTTGTTCCAGGTCAAACCCAGAGAGA